ATTTAAATCGTCATTATCTGTTGTTTTGATTAAAAATTATTACACAAATGCAATGTAATACAAAAAGACAATAAGAGACAGTCATTTGCGCCTTTTTGTGTTCAATTCCGCGTTCTCAAAATTGGTCTAAAAATTGATCGTTGCAATTTTTGTTGTGGTAAAATTTAACGCCCATATTTTGTAAAGTATTGGAAATCATTAAATAATATGAAAGTATGCCATTTGGACAGCCAACCTTCCGAGAAAGATAAAATGTGAGTTTAAAATTGTCTCAAATGAAGGTGAAGGCAAAAACAGAGTTAAATGAGTGACAAAATTAGGCGTTTGCTATACCCAAATGTTTTTTTTTCCTTTTCTTTAAAATAATCATACAATTTTCATTTTCTTTTGATTTATTTTTGCAACAAAAATACGTGCATTTGACGAGAATACATTTAAGAGCGCATTGTAGAAGGTCATTGTGATTTATGTTGAAAACACAAACAATTTAGTAATGACTTTTGATAAAATGGAACTAAATTAATAGAAGTTCAGAAATTTTGAAAGAATAAAACGTATTGAATTATAAATTATACCAGTTACATTCTGGAATAAATTTACAACTGTTTGTCTACGAAAAGGAATTTTGACGCAATTAATTAATTAATGCTATCACTTATGCTGCTAGAAAAATATCTACATTGAATGGCAATCCGAGAGTTTTTTCTTCATATTTTCAGCAAAAGTAATCGGAATGTGTGTTGTTATAATTCTTGATAATGATTATCAATGATGGCAAATCATACTTTAACTTCAAAAATAAATACGTTGTATCGGAATCAATTATAATTTAAAATAAAATAATAGGTTCAAAAGATTTTCGATTTTTAGTTATTCCAGTTTAATTATTTAGTTTATAATAAAAAAACATTCTGCGATAGCAAATCTTTTCTTTGGCCAGAACTAAAGTGAAAGAAGATTTTCCGAAGTAACTAGTACATAATATTTGGAAAAGTGATAATACGTATAGACATATTATCATCTTCTGATTACTTTTTTTTAATTTCAAAATTTCTGACAACTAAAATTTATGATTTGCAAGAAAGCATGATTTTTATGTTCTCAAAGGGCTCGTAAGACTAGAAAAATTCCGATAATTACTAAACTTGAAGCACTTGATGGATTTCATTTATTAGATTTTAAACTTAATTCGTTTGCAGTACTTGAAAGCTCTTATCAATTTGTAACTCCATCTCATAATATTCTATTCAGTCCTCGTTCTTGGGTGCTTCAGTTTCTATTTAATTAATTAAAATTGTATGCATTATACATTATTCTTAGTAAAAATTTTTTCATTAGTTCTTGCTTAGAAAATGTTTGAATATTTTCGCATTCAAATCGTATTCTTTAATTGTGTATTTTAGAAAAATAAAATCTTCAAAAGCCCAATGTAAATCATTTTATATAATAGGTCTATCAAAATTTCCATTTGTTCTAAAATTTCAATTTCTATTTCTAACTGCAATAACACCATTGTTAAGTGAATTTATTATCCAGCTTGACCTCCCAATGAAAGACTAAATGTCGAAAAATAATGAAAGCGTACTAATTGCATTTGCCATTAATAAAATTTCAATCAAGCTTTTTCTACAATATTCTTTTCTTTCATTTTGATCATTTATTTAAATGTTTAAGTGGTGAATATGCGACAATGTTTACGATAATTGACTAATAAAAAGGTAACACTATAAGGTTGAAAATTCCTTCATCAGCTTGTAAACAAATGTATGCTTTGATTATTGCGGTGCATTTTTTTTTCGAACACCAATCAAGAGTAATAGTAATAGTTTGATAATAGTCAGTCAATATTTCAATAAAATATTATTACTGTTATTACTAATCTTTAGGAATTAAAATCTAAATAAACTTATGTTTTTCGTTGAACTACTTCATACTCACCTTTTGGCTACGTTAAATGTTTATCTTGAAAGAAAGAGCAGCTTTAGAGATTCTATTATTATTAAAAAAAACATGGATTCTATTATTACTGTTATTACTAAGCTTTAGGAATTAAAATCTAAATATTTTGATTGTAGAAATTTCATTCATTCTACCAACTGTTTATGTTTGATATAAGATGAAAAGAAGTAAAGGTACTGTATTATATTTTTGCTAAAAATTAGTAATAACAGAATCCATATTTTTAAAAAATTTCCATTTTTTTAAGATTAAAGCTTTTACTTCATTCTTTTGGAGAATCAAAAATAAGTTCCCATATTAGATTTTAGCCGGAAAAGTGATGAAAATTTTAGGAAAAAAGTTTTGTGATCTACAAGCTTTAGGAAAAATAAGCATTGAGATTCATTGAAAATATCAGAGTATAATTTAATCCCTCACTTTTTCGATCTCTCTTTCTTTCTTTCTCTGTCTTTTGGAAATTTTGCATTTAAGCATTTTTTCATGTATGTGATCTTTTTTCTTGGCTAAATTTCATGCCAAAGAAGTGTTGTTTGTTAGGCCCAGGCCAACTTGGTGTCTGTCTTATTTATTTGTGAACAAAAGAAAAGAACCAGAAATGACACGAAGAGTGTGTTTTTTTAAAGAATGTCTGAAAGCATTCAAAGTTTCTGTTGTGATACAAATTTGAATTATTGATTTTCTTTATGCAAACAAGCCGTAATAATTATATGACTCTGATGATTGGTTTATAAAGCACAAGCTCAATTCTAATTTTAAGCCTAGAAAAAAGCATAAATGAAACATAAGCATTCATACTTAACAACTTTTTTCAAGCTGTTTATTATTTATGAATGTTCACCCCCGCGACACATTCACCGATGATTTCTTGATGGCGCTTTTATCTCACATCATTTTTTATTGTATCTTTCACACTCATTTTTAAATTTCTTTCAAAAAAAACACAGTTCTGTGTGTTCGTTTTAAGCACAAAAATGTTCTCTATATTTGATTTTTTTTAAATTATCAACAAATTTGTTCTCAACTTATTCTCGTAAAAAAAATTTACTTTCAGCCTTTAATATTGTCAATATCAAAAATTCACATTAGTAATCAAATAAAAAAAGAAAAAATTATTAAAAAGAAAGATTATTGAGAAGCAAATTTTCAATTGCTTCATCAAAATCGAAATTCTCAAACAAAATGCCAACTTGAAATAAATTTATTTAAAAACTTTTAAAAGCCTCTATATCATATATCTCAGCAAAATTTTCATGGTTTTTGAAATATTCTAATTATTATTCTTTTTTGGCATGGAAAATTTAAAAATCCAAAAAGCAAAATTTTCCATTAACTTTTATAAACACCATATCTCTAAAATGCTGTTGAATTTTCATTGAATTGAACGTGAAGTTTTTTGCAATTGACGTAAAATAAATTGTCCAACACGGAACACGGACTTTGTTAATTCCATCAAATGAATGGGTCCCAAAAAAATATATATGTATTAGTGATTTGTTTGCAAAATTCCATGCTATAATTATCTTTTCTTATGTTTATATCCTAAATAAATAAATTTTTTTAAATACAAGATATTTATTTATCATCAGATCGAAATTTATCATCAAATTAACGTATTATTCCAATTTCAATGGTAAACTTTGATTTGTAACACAAATTACCAGGCTAGAATTATTTTTCACACTACGGAGTCAATGGATGAATGAAATGGATTTATTTGCTTTTGTTAATTTAATTCTATTATTTAATATTTAACTTGAAATGAACATCCTTGTTGTCGCGCATATTAATTTGTGTCCGATCCTTTTTTAAAACCTTCATGGATTTCGTTGTTTCCTTCCAATCCTTTGTCTCTGCTATGTTTAATTTGTTAGAACTCGCATCCAGAAGAAATAATTTTTCATTTCTTATATTCTGGTCGAGAAAGAAAAAAAATTAGTTTAGAAAGATTGGCTCAAAACAAATGATTAATGTTCGAACTTTTCAAAAACTTTTTTATCATTTTTCAATTTCCTTCATGACGACAACCGATTTTATCAAGGCAAATTTTTTGAAAGTGTTTTAGCCATAGAGAAATTTGAACCCCTAAGATTACTGAATAACTTTGAGTTCACATGAATAACGTTTTATTTGCTGTCATTAGCACCAATTTTAGTTCTCCTACTGATCTTATCACACTATTGTATTAAGAATTCTATCGTTAGAACAATCTTAAACAAAAATTTTGGTTTCTCGATATTCAGTTCAAGATCTAAGAATTAAAAGGAACTCCTAAAAGAATTTTAAAATCTCAAGACGAATATGTCTGTAAGGTTAAAACTGGTAACAATAGTGGTAATATGAAATGATCTTATTTCTATTATCATCAGTTTTGGTCTTTCAAATTTTGACTAATCAATTTATGGGCTAAAAGATCAGATTCTCTCATTCGTTCAGGATTCGGAATTTTATTTTTATATTTTACAATTGCAGAGCTTAGAAGACAACCTGAAATATAGTGGAACATTTTTTCTGCTATTCTCATTTTTGCAATTCAAAATTTAAAATTATGTTGCAATAAAATTAATTTTATACAATTTTAAAATTATTTCCATAGATTGGTGAATTTGCTGATTTGCAAGAAATGGATATGATCACCCGCCCGATATAATTAATATCATCGAAAATGTATTTCATTTTTTTAATAATTGCTTGCATCGCTGACACAGGTAATGTAATTTTGAATTTGATTTGTACTGTTGAAATCAAAATATATCAGACTCTTTGCATTTTGAAATTGTTGACAAAGAAGGAGAAATACTGCTATTATGACTAAAACGAGCTGTAGGCATGAAATTGTAAATTTTTAAGCACATTTTTTGTAGGCTTTTTTATGTGCATTTTCCTTGAAAATAATATTCTAACAGCTTTTCATTTTACCGCAAGGCCTACTTCCAGAACCTTTCAAAAGCCTAAGCTATCTATTCATTCTCTGTTTAAATTTATTAGAGTGATATTCAATGGATTTAAAATAGATTGTCTAAAGTGTAGTAGGTGGAAAAGAGATGCGTGATGACAATGATCGCAATCAAATTACCGATGAACAACGTCTCCTGCGCCATTTACTTGACCATTACGAGAAAGCCGTAAGGCCTGTGAGGAATGCCTCCAACACGGTGGTGGTAAGAATGGGCATGACAATGACCAATATTTTTGATATGGTTTCATTTCTTTTTCTTGTCAAAACAAACAAATAACTGATAAAAAAGGTCACTGAAAAACATCGTGCAATGTTTTTTATCCTGAGAAAGACAATGACATACTATCAATGATACCCAAACATTGTCAGTGTTCTTACCTGATGTTTCGGGGATAGAGAGAAATCTACCAATGCATTGGGAAGGAGGATGAATTGGAATATGAGATGAAAGTTATCAGATAATTTCTCAGATTACTGAAAAATGTCACGAATCGATAAATATATTTAGTATATATATCTTAATAGATTTCATGAAGCATTTCAGAGTTTTATTGTGTTTTTAACGCCTCACTAACTTTAATCAATTTCATCGGCTACAATTTTGCGCACGTGAAAATACCATTGCGTCAAAATTGTATTACAAATCAAATGTCACATTAAAGTTTCATTCTCATATCACATTGAAATACATCATTTCAGGATGAGAAAAATCAAGTGTTAACAATAAATGTTTGGCTCGATCAAGTTAGTTCATTTCCTCTTATTAAAAATAATTCATTACAAATTCACTGATGAGATTTTTTCAAATTTTAAAGAATTTTATTTGAAGAAAGAAAGAATGCACTAAACAAATTTAGGAATGGAAAGATGAATTGTTAGTTTGGGATCCGAAAGAATTTGGTGGGATTGAATCTGTTCGAGTACCATCCGATTTGATATGGCTACCTGATATTGTTCTTTACAATAAGTTTGCAATTCCTTTATGATAGAATGAATGAAAGAGAGAACGAATGGAATTCTCATTCATTAATTATTACTTTCTAACAAATGAAATGGAATCTAAAACATTTAAGCTTCACGTAATTTTCAACGTGTTTAATTAGTGTGGAAGAAATATTTAGCGCGGATGATTATACAATCGGTTCAATGCATTCACGAGCAATATTATTTTATGATGGTACCATCTTCTGGCCACCACCAACACAACTTCGTAGTACCTGTAAAACTGATGTCACATATTTTCCATTCGACAGTCAGCATTGCGCAATTAAATTCGGCTCATGGACTTATCATGGTATAGAAGATTTAAATTTTTCAATGCCCGCTTCCATATTTGAAATTTTATGTATTTATGTCTAATAATTTACGAATTTCACAGGTAGTAATGGTATATAATAATATTGCTAAAATTTATGCATGAAAATTTATAAATAAGCTGTTAAATTTGTAAAAAAATATTCAGGTTTTCAAGTGGATATCACAAATCGAAGTGTAAATGTTGATTTAAGTTATTATGTGGAATCCGGAGAATTTGATTTGGTGAAGGTATTCCAGAAACGTCGAGTTCTTAAGTATACGTGTTGTCTGGAACCGTACCCGGACGTTACATTTTATATTCATATCAGAAGAAAGGTTATTTGTTATGTTTATTTTATCTCAATTTATTCTTCTCAAATAGAACTAAGCTGAGATAATTAGTTCGAAATAATTGAAAAAAAGTATGGATGTTACTTTCTGTTAGTAAAACATCCGAATAGCTAAGTTGTCAACAAACGACAACAAATAATCTTTCTTGAAATTGTAATCTAAGTTAACTTTTAAATTAAGGTTTTCTATATATGTATACATGTATGAATTACTTACTTTATTGAATGATATGATTTCCTTCATATCATTCAATAAAAAGTAAGTAATTTTTCCAAAAGAATTATATATTTGAAATTTTTTGAAGATTTAAATTTGTTTTATCAAACTTTGAAATAATGAAATTTATCTCAAAAACAGCAATAAAAATTTCTTTCAGACGCTTTATTACCTATACAATGTTGTATTTCCATGCTTAATGATGTCTGCCTTAACACTTCTTGGTAATTCATTTCACTCCAAAATTTACAATTGAATTTAATATTTCAATTTCGTAAATTATGATTTTCAATCCATAAATGATAGTGATATACGCTAGGAATCATATTTTAGAAGCAAACGATACAGATAATCAGTTTCATACCATTGATATTATCATACGGCAATATGTTAAATATGATAAGACGGAATTAGAATTTTCGGCGATTCGAACGAAAAATCAAAATTAAGCTTTAAATAAAAATTATGTTCATAGTAATAAATTTTGACTTAAGCTGAAGAAACTCAAGAAATGCTTGTTTTTCAAACCACGTCACTTCACTTTTCAAATCAATTTTCGATGTTGTAATTTTTTTTTTGTTTAAAGCTTAAAATATTTTCAATTTTGAATAGAAAAAAACTGACATAAAATTATTTCAGTATTTATTTTACCACCCGATTCGAACGAGAAAATCACATTGGGAATTACAGTTCTTCTCGCATTCTCGGTAAATACACCCGCACAAGAATGAAATGTGCACAAAAACTACTCATCCATGATTCCATCATTAGCTTCTTCTCCTTTTTTTAAAAATAGATTGCATAATTTTTAAAATCTCAAATTTTCCATTCAAGATTTTGATAAAATAAATCACCATTTGAAATCAACAAAAACGTATATCTTCTAATTAGGTTCATGATTCATTCACATCCATAATTTTATGATTTACAAGCAGGCATTTCAGTTTTTTTTGCACAAATAATTTCAGGTTTTTGTGTTAGCTATCGCGGAAAAAATGCCAGAAACAAGTGATTCGATACCCTTGATTGGGGTCTATCTGACCATTGTTATGCTTCTGTCTAGTATATCTATCGTTATGACCGTTATGGTAGGATTTGTAAAATCCTATCCTTTTTTTCAATTTCAGAATGGAGTTGTAAGAATTTTGCAGAAGCTATGAAATTATCTTTGAAATGAATGTCCTGAAGTGATTCATTTCATCATCATTGCGATGTATGCTTCTGGAGAAATATTTGTTCAGGTGTTGAATTTTCATCATCGTCGTCCATTTGATCGTCCTGTGCCAGAATGGGTCCATGTCCTTGTGTTACAAAAATTGCGACATTTTTTAAAAGTAGATTTACAATATCCGCTAATTAACAGAAATGATTGCTTGATATCGAATGGTCAACCAAACGAAATGTGCTCACGAAAGTTCATTGGTCAGTCATTTTATTATTGTCCATGTATCTATCCTTTTAGCTTTAAATCAAGCAAATTTGCTACAGATTATTAAATTATTATTGCTCAATTGCAACTACTATTTTATTTTAATTGATAAATTTTTGTCTTAAAATTACAACAATAATAGAAAATCCATTACTTTGGATGCAAGAAACCGAATTTGTCAACGTTGATAGACGTTTAACAGCACGTAGAACTAAGCGAAGTATCGATTTGCAAGTTTACTATCACAGAATATTACAGGTTATTTTATTCTTAAATAATTACAGCTATAAAATCTAATTACTGAAATCCTACCTAACATATATTTGTAAACATATAAGTAACTCTAAAATCTCCATGAAATTAAAAAAGGATAGTCAGAAGTTAATGGAACAGTTTAATGGTAGTAACTTTTTAAAAAAATGTAAATTTATTATCAACAAAGGAAAAATCATTTCTTATCATCACAATTTTCTTTTTTGGACAAATAAAGCCTGGAAGTATAAAAAACCTTTAAATTTTTAAAACGTCAGGAAACGAATGAATTATGTCAGACGTTGACGAACGAATGGCGTCAAGTAGCTCACGTAATTGATCGTTTACTGTTTTGGATATTCCTTATATGTACTGTAATAATAACTGTTATTTTACTTGTCATTATACCAATTCAGTATCGTTCATTTGATAATTTTCCTGATGAAAATTCATATTGGAATGTTTAATTATAAAACTGTGCTCAAAAAAAGATTTCAATAATTTTATCTTTCATTTCATTTATTACAATTACATTATATTTAAATGTTATCTGAGTGAATTATATATGTTAAAAATATTTCTAGATTATTGATATAACACGTCGTTAAGAACACATTCGATCTTCGTACCAGTAATTAGATTTAAAAATGTTTAAAAAATTGTCAATTGTTTGTTATTCAATCAGCATCACCGGCCATTAATTCCCAAAATTCTGCAAAAAAAAACTTTTTTCAAGCTATATGAAATTCTAGGAAATTTATAAATTTCATCATAGGATAAGCAATACTTGAAATAGTTTGAACAGCGGGCTATAAAACTGAATGATTATGCTTTTTTCTTAAAAATTTCGAAAAGCATATTTTAACTCATAAATGATTAATGGGAAAATGAAATCCAATTCTCTCCTTTCTCTTTCTACCTCCTTCTCTCATACCTTCAAACTCAATCTTTCCGGAACCATCTTCATCGATCTCATCTACCGCTGCTTCTAGCTGTTCATCGCTCAAATCATCAGCAATTTCCTTCAGAAGCGCTTTCAGTGTTGGCCGAGATATATAACCATTACCCTGAAATATTCCAATGAATGATTTAATGAAATGCAAGAGAGTTTCCACTGAATAGTGAAATTCCATCCGAAAATTTGTCAATTAAATCAATTAAATTTCTCCATTCCTAACTTTTCCAACGAGATTTTTTTTTAATTCCACTAAAAAAGGAAGAAAGAATGCTTAAATTTAATAAAACTAAACATTAAAACACTTAAATATCGGAAAAAAACCTCTTTGTCAAAAAGGCGGAAAGCTTCTCTCAGTTCTTTCTGCAATGTTTCCTTATCGACCGTATTGGCAACGGTATAGACGAGGGCACAAAACTCATCAAATTCCAGTTTTCCGGATCCGTCCGCGTCAAATTTACGGATCAATTTTCGAAGTTGTTTTTCATCAAAATCCTGTTCCATTGCATGCATAATTTGACCAATTTGTGTTGCCATAATGTAACCCTGCTTACCGCGGTCAAACATATCAAAGAATTTTTGATATTCTAAAAATGGGACAAAAAAAGAATTTATTTTCAGCAAGTAATAATTATAGATTGAAGTGAATTTATCAAATTTATTTTAGATAAAAATTTTAAATCAATTTATTTTATTGAATGAAATCTTCAGTATTATTAGAAATATGGCATCTTAATTGAAATTATTTAAACTATCAGGTAACATAATATAGAATTTAATCATACAGTGCTAATATTAATTTAAATTGAAAATTAAAATTATATATTTATAAAAATGAAAGTTATTTGAAAAAAAGACAAACCTTCAATTTGGGAGCCATCGATTTCAGCCAAAATCTCATCAATATCTTCCGCCTGTAATTATTTTACTTAAAATTTTATTTAATCTTTCTTGGGTACATCAAGAAATTTATTAAATGGCATCACTGAATGAATGCTAATAGCATAATCCGCTTTTCTGCAATTTTTTCGCTGATGATAGGATGTTAAAGTCATTCAAATTTCAGTAAATCCATATGAAATCTTACTGCTGTATTTTGAAGTAAACAGATTTCGATTTATTACTGCCTTTCTATCAAGGTTTTTTTCAACTGTCAGAAGTGGTATTGTTGAATTTTTAAAAAATTTTTTTGTCAAGGAATGATTGGGAAAAAGAAAGTTAAATAATAAAATCTAAAGGAATTCAAGCAAATAAATACATTATTTTTTTTGATTCTCTTAAGCATCTCTGTTTATAGTTATACCTGTATACCCCACCTTAAACTTATAATTAATAGAAGAAGGTACTGTTGCAGAACAAAATGTAAATGCTATTTAGAAATATCCGAAAAAAAAATTTTATCATTAAGTTAGAAAGTGAACAAACAAAAGTTCATTTATCGCTTAAAATTATGCTTTAAATAATAAAACGGATTTTTTTTGGGTAGAATTAAAAGTGAAATAAATTTCCGCTATGCTAGAGAAATAAAAAAACTTATTTGCATTCAAATTTGTTTGACTTTCAAATCAGAAATAGTCCGAAAAAAAGAAAAAAATCATTCAAATTAAACATTCAAATTAATTTCGAGTTTAGTTCACTTTTCGCATTTTCATTAGGAAAAAATCTCAATACATTTCATTGATAAATAGAAAACACTCAGGAATTAATATATGTTGATCGATCAGTCGATCAGTCAATCAATCGGTCGATCAATATACATTGTAATTCAATAATGCATAATGCAATATTTTATTCAAATTAAAGACAAAAGAAGAAAAATATTATAATTGTAGGAAATGAAAAAAAGGAAGTGAAGAATAAGGCACTCACCATTGTTGCTCAATTTGCTGAAAGTGAAGTTCGAAAGCTATAAGAAAGTGGGTGGAGGATGAAGAAGCATTTGAAATTTAATGTTTATAGCTTCATCATCCTCTACAGCTCTTTCTCGACAATCTCTCCCTGACATTCTCTAACAGATACCTCAGGCTCTTGCAATCCAGTGGGCGCTATCGGGACAACTGTCTATTGCTTCTTCCAGCGCCTGAACAGTGAAATATGTGTAATGCAGTGATATTACGATGATTACAGCCTCATCTTATCTTCTCCACCACATTCTTCACTAGCGAAAAACTGATAATAATCATTAGTAAATTCTGAGCCTTAGACTTTAACGATTTTTAACAATTTCATATAGTAAATTAATAAATAAATAAAAATAGAAAGAAAAACAGAAATATTGCATGAGAATTTGAATTTTCTTGATACTGAAAAAAAATCAATTGAATTGTTAGAATTTTTGCGATAGATGTATTAACAAGTTGAATAGAACAATTGTTGGATAATTCAAAAAACGTAATTTTTCGTGTGAAAAGATTCTATATTTAATTTTTAGAAGTTCGAGAAAGCTTTAGACAAAATTGATTCAACTATCGCACGTCTTATTAAGAGAAATAAAATTCTTCAAAACATTCCTGCTCCATCAAATTAAATCTTTGCGTCACGAAAAAAAGTTTGCATTTCATGTTTGCATGCTCGCATACAAATTCAATAAAAAATAGGTTAAAGTGTAAACAAAAATGAAACGAAGGTCAATTGTAAGATTTATAGTTGAGATAAAATAAATCTCTTCTTACTTATATTATTATTTTTGTGTGTGTGTATGTGTGTGAAAGTGAAATGATTGATATTATCAATGATTAATACTGAATTTGTTTATGTCCCAGGAAAGATGACACATATAATTAATTATAGATAATTCTTTTGGGATCAATCGCGCCGCGATAAAATTGAATCGATTAAATTATTCATTGAAAAAGAAATGTTGTATCACACAAATGCATATTTATTGAAATGAATAAATTAATTAAACAGACAAACAAATAAATAAATAAATAAGCAAAT